AGAGAAGAGTTCAAGGTCGCATCCCTGACCTGGCACTGCCATGGGAGGACTGGGGCTGCAGTGTCTTCGGGATTTGAAGTCCCTCTCCCATGCTCTGCTGTTGTCTCAGGCAGGGCAGAAGGTGAATGGAATCTGGGCTTCCTCATTGCGAAGACTGTGGCCCAGTCCATAATAATTTCTCTTGCTGTGGCTCGAGGTGTTCCATATGTACCTTTTGGTGCATTTAATTATTCTCTCCTTGGTAATTTAATTATTACCTCCTTGGTAATTTTGAGGTAGCAAGCTGGCCTTTTGCTTTTGTTTCATCCTCAGAAGATGAGAAGAGTTTCCAAGTAGGATCTTTTTCTAGAAGCATTCATGCCCTAGTAGAATTAAATAAATAAAAACTAAATACAGAACTTAAAGGTTATTTGTTTAATATCATGAAACTACTACACCACATATTGCTACAAAGATTAGAATTATGATATGATCTGATTTCTGTCTTACTGTTTAACGTATTGCTTATCTGATTATGAATATTTTTACCTCAAAATAAGTATATGTCCTCTCTATAGCTGTACAGCTAGTACTGGATTTAGTTGTCAATCAATTTCCCTATTTAACTGATTGACAACTTTTATTAATTGTTTCTTATATAAAATTAACAGTCTCATAATTAACATTAATCACTGCAACATTTTATTCTTGTGATAAGAAACATGCATTTTTACTTTTACTGATAGACTCTCAATGTACTAAGCATATAAAGATATTTTCAATTCTAGTTTTATCCAAAATGAGCATATATGTTTGAAATTCATATTCTGGCACTAAGAATACATTCTACGTTCTCATTATTGACACTGTTATACTGTATGTGTATAATGGTAACTTGGACCATTCAGAAGATCAAGGATGCCAGAAAAGACACTGATCTACATATACATTCAACCATTGGGTCTTCTGAAGGCCAAGGCCAAATTAACTAGCAGCTTTTGGTTGAAGCTGTACTTCAGCTGAATTAACTATAGCAACAATTTCATTTTACCAAAGGTTTATGGTGCATCTTCAAAGTGTTATGCATCTAGTTGGCTTAGGGTCTACAATATTGAATGAGAATAAAATAACCTTGTTTCATTTACATTTAGATCACTCAAATGCCCCAGCCTATTCACCTTTCATATTAGCTCATTCAAAATAGTTCAAATTTCTACCCTACTTGATGTAAGAATTCCAATATTTTAACCAGCTTGTGTTTCTTA